CAAAAATGTACTACCTCCATCCCATATTAGATGTCATGTTTTCGTTTGGCACGATTATTAATAAAGTGGTTGAAAAGTAAAAGTTGTGGTTGAGATTTGATTAGAATAAAGTAACACAACCAAAATGGGACAGAGGGAGAAATTTTGATAATAGTACCTAAATTGGCAGTTTGTAGAGTACATAAAAGCGGAGCACGATGCACATTGGCACCCCCGCAAGGAGACGGTCAGGGGAAGGGTTCCACAACAAGGGAGTATAGGGGGCAAACCTTCCCTTGTCAATTTTTGACAAGAGGCTGCTCCCAAGGCTTTAACCCGTGACATCTCTTGGTCACACAGCAATACCTTAACCGGTGCGCCAACTATTCCCTTCAATTAAATGGATATATTTGACGGAAAGTTCATAGACTACTTATTACCACAAAAAGCTGAATAGTAAGCACAGATGGGCACTGACAGAAAACAAACCAGATACTGACTGGCCATAATTAGAGTACTCCATAAACTGCACATTTTTTGAGTTAAGCAACTGCAGGAAATCACTGTAGCTTATTCGATGAGAAGTCACAGGGTCCCATTCGGTTCCTTTCAGCTTTCCACGCATGGTTAATAGCTTTCTGCTCCATTCAGAAGCTAACACAAGCTGCCTCTCTAATTGAACATTTGCCTTTCTTTCAAACTCCTGTAAACTATTTATCCTCTCTCTTTCAGCCTCCTTCAAGTTCTGAAATTACATTCGCACACATTTGAGAGAGGAAACAAAAGTAGCATTGTTTATTGTTTTCTAAAGCTTTACTTCCCACTCTTTTACACAAACTTTCTGCATGTTGCTGTTATTTACTTCACATTGCAATGAATTTCCAGAAGAAGAAAAAACTAATCATTAGCCACATTCAAATATACAGGCTTGATCTCCTAAATTTGGATAAACTCTTCTGCTTAAATTTCTTTAGTATAGCCACTCAAAAGGCTTCACCTTATTGAAGTATCAGAAGCTTTTGGTGTTTCTTCAAAAGTAGTCCTTAACTCTGAAAAAAACCAAGCTTTTTTACTTACACTATCTATTAGCTATTGGCTATTAGCTTTATTTTCATTCGAAAACTCCATACTAATAGGTTTAATTGAAAGCTTGAACGAGCAAGAGGTATAGCATGGGTACTTGGCTGCCGAAAAAACGCATTATAGTATTTAAAAAATATATCACCTACTTAGGCATATCCGCATATGCAAACTGAATAATAACATCTAATCTACATGTCAGAACATAGAGGAAGACATGCACACACCTCGAATAGCGACTCTGCGTCTTCGCCAGCTGAGTTGGAACTCGTAGGGGTTGAGGAAGACGCTTGACAAGCGGTGACTCTAAATGCGGTGGGACTGACATAGAGATGTCTATGCTGCAAATGAGAGATAAAAACTTGTCTAGGAAATGGGAGCGGGAAGAGTGGTGGTTTAGAGAGTCGAGGTTTAGGAGGGCGGAGATGGGAATTAGGCAAATGCTTTGATGGGTCAAATGGTTTGGACGCATTAGCTGCAACCATCATCTTCTTCCTCTAGCGTTTTGCTGCTTCGATAAACATATGAGTCGGAACTACAATACACACTTCTTTTATGACCGTCTCCAGAGCTGGGAGGTTTGTTCCGGTTGTCTGATGAAAGTGTGTGCTGTAGTAGTAGAGTACTGAAATTGGGAATCTTAGACAACTTCCTCGACGTCCTATGCTAATTGGATTGGTACATCACCTAAGCAAATGACCACTTTCAAGGAAGAATATTAGCAAATGGGGTACCGTACCTACCATGGATTTGATTGGTCCAAATCATTATAACCTTTTTAATTTAGATTTAAATAATTCAACTGCATTATTCTTATTGGTCCATGTGAACAAAGGTACGGTACATTTGGGGTACCATAGAATCTACCATAGCAAATTAGGATGTTTTTACTTGGACCGTAATTTGTCCCAGCCAGACCAGACCAGACCAGACCAGACCAGTTCAGACCAGACCAGACTTGGATAGTTATAAAAATACAAAAAAACCAGGCTTTACCAGAACAGACCAGTTCAGACCAGATCAGATCAGACCAGACCAGACCAGCAAATTACAGTCCAAGTAAAAACATCCTTACACCTTCACATTTAGAGGGCGTTTGGTAAAATTGTATCGGTTGAAGTTACCTAGATCATGACCATTTTAGCTCTTTTTTATATATTTTTTCCTTTATTTTATTAATAAAATATATTTTAAAAATATTTTTTTTAAATCAGCAGTATCAACCACTTCAGCCACAACTTCACAAATTTCAGCAGAATCAGCTAAATTGACCGGTTTTTGTGTTACCAAACGGGCTACTATTTTTATTTTTCGCTAAAGAGTCACATATGTCTCTTTATTTTTATTTGAATGGCTAACATGTTTCTTCAACCTCATTTTGAGAAACAACAAAATGTCAGTGAGATGGCGGAAGGGTACACTCGTTTCCCTATTTAAAAATAAGTCTGATGAACAAGAATGTGCCAACTATCGAGAGGTTAAGCTAATGAGTCAAACTATGCTAATGAGTCAAACTATGGGAGCGAGTGATTGAGCAAAGACTTCAAAAAAGTATAAAAATTTCGGAGAATCGGGTTGGTTTTATGTTGGGACGTTCAACAACTGAGGTCATTCACCTTCTTATACAAGTTGTGGAGAAGTATAGAGACACTAAAAAGAATCTGCATTTGGTGTTAATTTACTTAGAAAAACATATGATAAAGTACTTCGAGAAGTTCTTTGGTGAACCTTAACTAGAAAAGCATATGACTAGCTAGTGTAGGGAGGACCGTTGAGTTCGCTATTACTATCGGAGTGCACCAAGGATCGGCTCTGAGTCCTTTCGTATTTGCTATTGTCATGTATTAACTTATGAGGTCAATTCAAGAAGATGCATTGCGGTGCATGATGTTTGCCGACAATATTGTATTGATTGACGAGACACAATCGGTGTTAAAGCAAAGTTGGAAGTATGGCGACAAACATTGGAGACCAATGGTTTCAGACTGAACCAAAGCAAGACTGAGTATATGGAGTGCGAGTTTGGTGGAGGTAAAAGTAGTAGCAACAGTGTGATTATTTTTTGTGGTAATAAGGAGATACCGATGTGTGATACGTTCCGTTACTTGGACTTCATAATTCCAAAGGATGGTGAATCATATGGAGATATATCCCATAAAATCATAGCTAGGTGGATAAAATAGAAGAGTGTTTCATGATTTTTATGCGATCGAGGTATGCCGACTAGAATGAAAAGTAAATTTTATCAAAAAACAATTAGGTCCTCATAAATGTATGCCATAGAGTGTTAAAGGGTGAAACAGTGTAACATTCGAAATATTAGTGTGGCAGAGATGCATATGTTGTGTTGGGTGTGTGCACATACAAGAAAAGACTTCTTGAGGAATGAGATAATCGTTCCAAAGATGGGAGTAACACCTATAAAAGATAAGATGCAGGAGTCTCATTTGCGATGGTTTGGGCATGATATGTGCGTAGAAGATCGAGTAATGCACCTGCTAGACGACGTGAGGGGTGGGGAGAATAGGCGGAGAGGAGAGGGAGGGGAAGACCCAAACATATTTGGATTAGATGAATCAGAATTGATATGTGTCTTCTTGAGTTAGATGATAGTATGACTTTGGAGAGAACAAAGTAGAGGACGCACACTCGTGTGGACGATTGATCTCTTTTCTATCTTTCCTCTCTTTTTCTTTTATCGTTTATCTCTTTATCTTTTTATGTTCTTATGTTATTTTTATCTTCTAGCTTCTATATGCTCTTTTATCTTCTTATCATTTATCTTTCTTATGTTGTTATGTTATTGTTATCTTATACGAGTATTATTTATCTTTATCCTATCCGTTTTATCTTACTTTTTTGGGAAAACTGTCAAATAAGTCCTTGTAATATTTCTTTAAAATCAATTGAGTCTCCGTACTATGAAATCACCCAATTAAGTCCTCCTACTATTAAAAAATGTTCAATTTTACGTTTTGGTCGGTTGATGACAATTACTCCCGGTAACGCAATTTATACCGTGCAACCGGCGCACCATGAGGATGGTGCGCCCGGTTGCAAAACGACGCACGCTTCATTCAAAACGACGGAGTGCCTGGTTTTTTTTTTTTTTTTTTTTGCTTTTGTTGTTAAAAAATGATAATAACTTTTTTATTTTTGCTCCAATTTTTATAAAATTTATATCAATATTTTTTATTTTTCATGATCTTTCAAATGAGACCAATATTGCTTATGAAATTTTAAGAAATTATCGAACTATTATATTAATGAGTATTGGATTATAAAGAAAATCGAACTAAATTTAATATAGAAAAATTATTGTGTAAATCACAATTTATCTTAAAATTGTGTATATAAAAAATTTATTGTATTATGTATTTATACATGTGAGTTACATATTTTTATACGTGAAGTTACATATTTTTACACGTAAGTTACATATTTCTACATGCAAGTTACATATATATACACATGAGTTGCATATGAATTGAAGGGAGATGATAAGTTTGTGAATAGAAGATCGAATCTGTTTGGGAGTGGATCAGTGGCCTCAATTACATTTGATAATTGAGTTACATCTTTTTATGAGCGAGTTACATCTTTTTATAAGCAAGTTACATATATATACACACGAGTTGCATTTGACATGCCTGAACGCGAGTTACATATATTTACACGTAAAGTTACGTATTTATACACGTAGAGTTACATATTTTTACACACGAGTTGCATTTGGCCTGACTGAACATGAGTTACATATTTTAACACGTAAAATTACATATTTGTACACGCAAATGTTAATATGTTAAAATTACATAGGCAATATTGGTCTCATTTGAAAGATCATGAAAAATAAAAAATGTTGATATAAATTTTATAAAAATCGGACCAAAAATAAAAAAGTTATTACCATTTTAAAAAAAAAGAGAGAAATGAAAAATAATGAGGCCAACTGCTAGAACTACGTCGTATTGGTGGCGGGTGTACTATGCTCATAGTGGGCCGGTCGTATGGTATACTAACTGCCCGGTAATAGCTGACATGGATGCCTGTGTGGCACTAATTTTTTTCTTTTTTTCCATTTCCTTCCCCTCACTCCCTTCCTTCTCCCTGGTTGTTCGATTGGTTCAGTTTCTTTCTTCCTTTCTTTTTCCCAGTTCAGTTTCTTCTTGGCTCTCCGTCTATCTCACCAATTTCACCAATTGCCACCCTTTTCTTTCCTTCCCTTTCTCCCCTTTTTTCTCCTCCGATTTTCTTTTCTTCTTTGGGATCTAAAACTTCGGTCTTCCTCTCTTCTCTATTGATTCTCTTTCTCTTATTTGGTGGTACCAAAGACCCCTGTCTCTCTCTATCTATCTATCTATCTGGGCTTCGGATTCGTGATTTGTCGATGAAAAGCGACATTGTGGCGAGGGAATGAGCAGTGTGGAGCTTAACGACCCTGTTGCCGGCGTTTGTTGCCGGAGTCCTGAAGTTGCACAGCTGCACGTTGATGTCGCCTATCAGGAAGATGAGGGAGGGGAGCAAGAGTTATACTACGGTATAATACTCCACACTAAGTACGAATCAAAAGAGAAGAACAAAAAATGTAAAAGAAAAACAAAGAAGAAACTAGAGCACGCAGGTCTGAAGTTTGGGAGGAAGAAGTTTGGACGAAGAAAGGGGAAGGAAAAGAAGAAAAAGACAGATAAATAAAAAGGAAAAAGAAAAATGTAAGTGGATGCCACATGCATTTTGAACTGGTAACAGGTAATTTACCCAGCTAAAAGTGAGATTTGAGCATTTTTTAAAAGTTGGAGGTTTTAATTGAATGATTTAATAGTACGATAACTTAATTGACTTTTTTAGTATAGTACGGGGACTTATTAAATAGTTTTCCCTACTTTATTTTCTTTTCTGGACCAGTTAACTTGCAAAAATCATTTGACGACCTTCCCGATTGAGTTTTTGGCTGAATTTGTTTGTGGATAAACTAGACTTGATGGAGAACATGCTATAAAAATTTCATAAAAAAAAACCACCGGGAAGGCGGTTAAACGCCGCCGTCCAGACGGCGGTTCTGTCTGGATTTCCGGACATGAACATTTGTGTATACACACACACACACATAGTGGCATTCCTGCCAGGCCGGCCTGACACGACCCTTTGTCTGGCCAAGCCCGTTTGAGGGGCTTTTGGATCGAGTTTTTTGATGAAAATTTTGAGCATGTTCTCCATCAAGTATAAATTATTTCTAGGCATGGACCCGGTTCGGGCCGCCCGGCCCGGGACCGGCCCGGCCCGCCACTGTGCGAGCCCGGAACCGGCCCGGTTCTCGGGTCCGGGTCCGGGTCGGGCCTAGGCCCGGTGGGGTGGCCGGGTCCGGGCTCGGGCCTTGAATTTGGCGAACCGGCCCGGCCGGGTCGGGCCCGGGCCCGGGCCGAATTGATTTTTTTTTTAATTTTTTTTTCTTTTTTTGGGGTTAGCCAAGTTGGGCTTGATGGTTAGGAGGGGTTTGGGGGTTTGGGGGGGGTGTGGGGGTGAGTGGGGGGGGTTAGGAAAGCAAAAAAAAAAAAAAAATTATAACCGAACCGGAGGCCCGGCCCGGCCCGGCCCGGACCCGGACCGGACCCGGTGGCTACCCGGGCCGGTCCCGGGCCTTCCTTCCCAAAAAAAAAGCCCGGCCGGGCCCGGCCCGGAACCGGAACCGGCCCGGCCCGGGTCCATGACTAATTATTTCCATAAAATTCAAAGTTAAAATTCAACCTGGAAATTAGTTAAATAAATTGATGAAACATATAGCGCTTTATTTATATAAATAAAGCGCAATATGTTTAAATGATTTATTTAACTGATTATCGATTGAATTTTAAGTTGAAATTTTGTGGAAATAATCTACATTGGATGAAGAACATGTGTAAAAAAAATCATCGAAAAATCCAATCGGGAAGAACCCTAAATGGCCTTGACCAGACGGCGGATTCTGTCAGGCCATGACCATTTAGACAAAGACATAGGTTGCAATGATGCATAAGATAAGCTCACTACACATACTAAGACTAAAAATATACAAAACAATTTAATTAATACACTAATAAAGTAAAAACATCTTGATAAAACACCATAACATATGCTCCAAGATGAATCTTTTGCGATCGTGGCTGATAATCATTCATGGCCATGTTGAAGGAAAATGTGTTAGAAAAGAGAACAAAAAGAGTAATTCAAATTGTAAAGTGCGAGTGTCAAACAAACTCTAAGCTCGAACCAACTTCAGTACAGGTGAGATTGTGAGAAGCGAGGGAAAAACGAACTCCAAAGTAAACTACGCATGACATGTCCACAGATTTGTTTGTTTCAACTTCACTGTCATTTTCTTACTTCATGAGAGCATTTCATTATCATGATTCATGAGGAAAGGTTCGAGGAAATAACAAAGCGAGATCGACCATTCAAAAGCTCCCACGTGTCAGAATTGGAGAGTAAAAATAATTTGCTGACATGAAGAATCTGAATACTAATTGGCCGACAAATTGCACACTTTCAAGTTCAAATGACAAATACAAACCAAGTGGTGCTCTATGGCAAATTTCAGGTTTCAAGCAAAACCAGTAAATAGATACCAACTTAGCATACACCATAAAGTAGGGGTAACCTGAAGAGCTCCAGCTAGGACGCAGATTTATACACTTTCACAAGCACCCATAAATCTTATTTCCAGTCAGGCAATTTTGTGTCAAATATCCTGACTCGAAAGCAAACAGGAGCTCATATTTAGCTTAGTCATTCAGAGAGCAACCCTTCACACTTCTCTTATCACAGTGCAATAAAAATTTCAAGATACATAGTGTGCGTAACAGAACTTGTCAGGGAGCATAAAAAATTCAAAACTCAGTTACAGGGAGGTTAGTTGACTTATCAGCAACTCCGTTGAGGCTAGTTTTGCTGATAATCCCCTTCCCAAAATATTTTGCAATAACTGAAAATCCATCCTTTGAATTTTTAACCTGCTGGAAGAAGTGATCATGGCTTTTAGAACTTTGCTCTAAGCTTCTCTTTTTCTCAATAATAGCTCTGTACTCTGGAGCACACTCAGGGCATTCCTTCTCATTGTCACCAAGGCAACGCTGATGAAATGAGTGCATACACATGAAGTGGACGGCAGGTAGGTCAAGGGTGAATGTGCAAGCAGTGCATTTGCTGAGCTGAAAGATTCTGGCATTAGTCCTAAGATCTTGGATTTCTTTTCTCATTGTAGATGTCTCTTCCTGCAAATTTTCAAAGGTGGACTTCAGAACACTTTTTACTGTTTAATTGCAGAACAGTAAATTTTATAAATTTGAGGGACCATTTCACAATTTACTTCATGGGTCAGCAGGGGATACTGGAACCCTAACTGTAGATGTATTGGGCTTAGAACACTTTGTACCAAGTGTAGCAATATATACACCTCCTTGCATAATCCTTTATTCAACACATAATAATAATAATTATTTTTATTTTTATTTATTATTATTAATTATTATTACTATAATTACTATTATTATATTTATTATAATAATAGTAATTATAAAAACAATAACAACAATAACAATGATAATAAACGTGATACTCCACAGAATATATATCAGTAGAGATTCATCAATTGCCAAACATGTATTCTAAGGAAATTAATCTTAAAATACTGGACAACAAAATTCTAGATCCCAATTCAGCAAGTAGAACTTGCCAGTGATATTAAAAGTCATCACGTACTCTATGCTCAGGAGGGAGCAAAAGGAGATTTATATATTACCAAGTCCCTCACATATTTGAAACATGTCAACTTAAAAGTGAGTTGAAGAATACAGGTTAACCTGATGCTTTTCAATAGCTCTCCTATCTTCTTCAATCAACTTGGACTCTTGTTCCAGCTTACGAGCTATATAATCTTTGATTACAGAGAGTGTAAGGCAAGGATTTCTCGACAGAGTCTGCAAAACAACAATAGGAGGCAAGATATCATCCCTTTCAATATAAGTTAATACTTCTTTCACTTCTTTGGAACAGTTTTCCCCTAGTTCACCAAAGTACTTCAATACTTCTGCCCAAAGAGAAGGATCACCACCTTTACCCGAGTCACCAAGCCTCTTGCAGCAAGCAATTAAACCCTCATGATCGTGTGCCTGCATGTAGCACGCAATAACCTCTTTGTAGAGTTTCATCCTCTCATAAAGAAATAGCAATCCTTCCTTGAAGCCATTCATCTCGCACAATATTATGGCAAGATCAACGTCATATTGTGGTTGTTCCTCTTCGGAAGGCCATCCACTCTTAAGCAAGTGCAGCCCCTTCTTACGTCTTTCTTGGCGTCTTTTATCTTCATTTTCCTCCTTTTTATTTAACTCTCCTCTCCCGTTAACTCCTGTAGTTCTTTCTTCTCTAGCATTTCCATTTTCACCAACACTAGACTGTGAAATTGATGGGAAATCAAGGTCATGAGACAAGTATAGTTCCAAGAGTGTGTTATGGATTTCCACTTGAGCAGGTGAGTCCTTAACTTTGCTGGTATACTGTTCAAGGAACTCCAAAAGTGAATGTGGGTAGTGAACAAAAATATTGAGAAAATCAATGGGAGATGGTAACATGGAAACATATGTAAGACTATTGGAGATCTTCTTGCCCGCTTCTCCTTCTTCTGTGCAAAGCCTCATCAATATCTCAATGGTTTCAATAGGCTTGTGCTCTATAAGAATTTTCCCATACTCTTTAACTGTCACGCCAGCCTGACTCAGTTCAAGGCTAGTAATATATTGCAATGCTTCGTCATATCGACCAAGGTCTTCAAGCAAGATCTTTAAGTACCACTCATGTCGACCGGTCTTCTTAGCAACATACATAGCGTGTTCATAATAATTAGCAGCCCGACATACCCTTATTGCAGTTTCCACATCAAATTTATGTTCCCCAACCGCATCCTCATCACATTTAATGAATACATTTAGCTTCTCAACATCTTTCAGTTTAGTATAACAATTCAACAACAAGGTAGTATGGTCTTTTGAAGCAAGCCCTTTCTCATGCAACTTCTCCAAGTAATTGGTAAGGTTGTAGATTCTTTGTGCATCCAAGAACTTCTGTATGACATATGAAGGTTCAAGATGGCCAATGGTGTGAATATATTGAGCCATTGCTTCATCATATTCCTGTTTGGCATATAAATGATCCCCATATTTCCTTAACACCTCAGCTGTGGCAGCGGCATCAGCTTGTTGACTCTGGACTAGGTTAATAGCTACATTATAAAGGTTCTTTTTGAAAAGCATATCTAGCTTACTCTCCATATCCTTTTCACCTATGCATAAAGCAGACTTATCTTCCATTATGAGAATTATGTTACCCCATTCACAAAGCATGTGAGAAACCTCATCGATGACCACACTATGGGCAATTAACCGGTTCTTCAGATCATAAACATAAAAAGTATTCTTCCCAGTTCTTTGATCAGCAATAACGCACACAAGGTATCCACGGAACCATCCAAGGAGCTTTTTCTCACCTTCAAAGGCCCAACAAGGACCCCGACCATCAACCTCATAGAAGTAAACAGCCTCTCGTCGACCGATTATCAACTCCTACAAGAGAATAGCTTAAATTTAAAATTTTTGTACTGAAAATTCACACATAACGTAACATCAACTTTAATGCAATCAAATAAAATGAAATTCATCTGTTAATTGGCTCACCGAGCGGTCAGTCATTGCAACACTAGGAACAGAAGATCCAATCTGATCAAGAGTCTGCTGGGAAGGGGGTTGAGTCTGGAGGTTGAATATGCTGACTGATTGAGGAGTGACAGCAAACAACAGGAGGGCCTGGCCATCAACTCTAAATCCAAGGCCAGTAATGGAAGCACGGCTTCTATCGGAAGGATTATCTACCTGGAGGCTAAA